ATGCCAAGCAATGGACTTGGGCCCTACCTAATATTTGCTCCATATGTAGTGCTATGTGAGAGTTTCCAGCGGTCCGGAGCGAGCGGCGACGGTGCTTTTCTTCTATGCGCTCTTTTGCCTCCTCCCTGAAGCCTGTCGCGTCTGACTCGTTTGTTCTCGCTTCTTTCTTTCTTTTGTTTTTCATGCTTTTGTTTTTTGGGGTCCCCCGGTTCCTGTGTGCTCATCGGGCATCTTCTTGGTGTCTACCTTGATTGTTACCCGCTGCAAAAATCGAAAGCTTCAGACAGGCAACGCGACGATACTCGTCGAGATGCCATACACAATGAATTCATTGCTAATCTGTCTCAGACTCTTTTCTATGATGGAGATGGATTCGTTGTGTCATATTAAGAAGAATAAACATAAAAAACATCCTGTCGTTACTCTATCGATACCTCACACCCACCCCTACTCACGCCGACGCAGACACAGACAGGCAGACTCAGCTCTTTCGCCTGTGCTGTATCTGTTGTTCGTGCGTGCTGAAAAATGGTACATACAGCAGCAGCTTACCGCAGCAGGAGCTGCTTTTTGCTTGTTTGTACAGCTTTTCCTGCAGGGATGGCTCTTGTTGTGCGGCAAGTTGCATTGTTTGTTGTTGATGCGGACGAGAGGACGAGAGTGAGTGGTAGGCAAAAGCAGTACGTACCGTGTTAAAGGGACAGACAGAGTGCCTACCGTGTGTATGTAGACGTTGCATTTCGTGATTCCCGAGGATCGGATGTATGTGTTGTTTTTTTATTGCGTACCCGCGTCCATCACGACCATTATTGCGTAGTGTGTCGGCTAATTAAGGTCCTTCCCGTTCGTGGTGTCAGCACACGCGCAACACGCGACTAAAATAAAAATATAAAGCTTGGGACTAGCAACGCCGACGATATTCGTCGGCTTGCTTTCAACAATGAAATGAACTAACTGCTGTATTAGGAATAATAAAAACACACACACAGAAAGACTACCCATTCGAGATATACCCACAGTCGAACGGGATGTGGTGGAGTCTTTTCAGTGAGTGAAGGGAAACCGGCTGGGTACTGGACTTATTTTGAGTCTTTTAAAGTCTATACACTGATGATTTATACCAGTGAAAATGTACGGTGCCGACTTTTCATCCTCTTCTTCTTGTTGTGTCTCCAACAACTTTATTTTTTCATCCTAACATACATTCTGAGTTCTGAGCGTCGGTGCCTCTAGGTCCTTTACGGCATAGTCTAGGTGTCCTTAGAACTTAGCTAGATTACACCGTTCGGTACAAATTAATATTCTGGACGCACCAGCCGGGGTCACACAGCAGCAGGAAGGTCACGCAAGAGCTGTATGAATTTTGTCCGCCTTTCCTTCTGCGGTGTTGTCGCCTTTCCGTACCCTAGTCGACCGTAGGTACACAGTAGAAATATCGCTATTTCCATGTTCATCATTGTTTGAGAATGTTGCAGTATTGTTCTCACAATCACAACCAATCCCAGTTCGTGTGACCGCACCGAAATTCGAAAACACGTCCAAGTCAGAAGGATGCGAGGTGACTGACCGACTGAACCACCCAGGGCCTGCATTATCGGCCACTGCTGTTTCTTGTGTGTGTGCAGATTGGGCTCGAAAATCGAAAAAACAGAATTCGCATATATATTTCCCCTAGACTTACACTACGAACAACCAATATTGGCACTGCCGAACACCACACACAGCGGCAGTGCTTCTGGGTTGTTGTTGTTGGCGTACGGTGACTTGAACGCGACGACTCCTCCTGGAGCACTGGAGTAGGTACTGACAGCTCCACATCAGAACGACAGGCACCCGCCGCCTGCAAGAGAAAGTGCTTCGAGATGCACGAACACAGGATGTGATTGGCTACTACACTATAAATTTCTAATTCCTGCTGTCTACAGGCCAGGTATCGGAAGTTCGTGAGCGATTTCAGTCCACTGCGAATTCATCCTGGACATGTATCTACGGGTCTAGAGACTACTTCTTGAAAAAACAAAAAATCTTCCCTCGACGATAATTACGAAGGGGATTTCGTTGGGAGGGTACAGTACAGTAGTCCTAAAAATTAAACACGTTATCACCGAAATAACGTAACGTCTGCTCCTCCTGGAATTGTCGGGAACTGCCAGAAAACCGACTGGGGCCCAGTACCAGTACTGGTCAAATGTCGTACGGTCATCAACGGAGACGACTCCCCTTAATAAGCAAACTCCCCCAATCCACCCACAACCTGGCAGCCGCTACAGCATGGTCGAGCCCGACATCGCGAAAGGTAGGAACGTTGCGCATCGTCCCCCGTAGCATACGTCGCTGGCGTGGTCGTCACAGTGCGGGGAATCGTCCCGGATTTTCAGGTGGCGGTCGGAAACTGTTCTTCATCTCTCGCAACCGTTTCATGGCGGTTACGCTATCCCCGCTCCCCGTGGCCTCTCGCACGGCCGTCTCATCGACGCGCATGAAAGGGTTGTGCTTCAGCTCTTGAGATATCTGCAGACGCGAGACGCGTTTGATCCAGCACAGAAGAACAGCACACGTCGCGAGGATTGTATTTAGCAAGCACGTGAGAGGGCGGTAGGTGCAAATCCACCTTTAAGGCACCCTCGAACGGTTGCTTGGGAGCGCCCCATCGCCGAGGAGAGCGTTGAATACAAAAAGGCCAGGTGAGTCAAAACCTGAGGCTTCGTCATGGTCCTGCACCATCGTGGGTTACCCGAACCAAGCCTTTTCAGCCGAATTCAACGTTTCTCACACATTTTTCGCGAGGCCACCGTCGTCATAGAAGTAACGACTTCTATATTGAACTTTCCGCCGACAAGGCCTTAGGCCCCGGGTTCCCCACCAATAATACGGCCACTCTGATACCACATGTCAACAGCATAACGCAAAACGAATCCCAACAGCAACAACAGTACCAACAACCAATCTACACGGCAAGAGCGTTTCTCAGCCCCCCAAGAGCACTTGCCGTTGACGGCACTGTGTAGCCCCCTTTCGCCAAGACCCTCCTCGACCAATCCAGCTTGTCCAACACCGCAGAGTTCTCCGGCTCCACCGACTTGGCGAACTGCAGGTTACTCACGGTGTACTCGTGGCCGCAGAAGACTCGGGTCGCGCCCGGAAGCGATGCCGCGACGCCTTGGAGTGCGTTGGACACTGCAAAGCGAAAGTAGCATAACATTTTTCAGCGGGTTGTCGACAGGTGCATGTACGGGGGGGTGCGAGACGATTAATTCCACCAGACTTCCGAGCACGCGACGTCCGTGGGAATTGGCGGGAGCGGCTAGCTGGTGGCCGCAGAGTGGGAGCCGCGAAACATCACTGGAACCAGGAACGTCCGCCCGCACACTATTGCACAATCTCTAGTATCGTTGTTCAGCTCATCAACCGTCGCTCGCAGTTCTCGACCTACCCCACTGCCTCGCCTTTCCATCTCAACAGCTCGATCCGGGGTCAAATGGTAAGACAGGAGAATTTCCTCTAACGGGGGGTATGCCTTGATTAGTGGTGCGCGTGAGGAGGTTTACCTGCCGAAAAACGACGTTCAAGGTTTGTTGTACAATCGGCTGCAACACGCAAGCGCCTTGTGCACGAGGCAACACAAGAATAATCTTCGCGAGCGTCGATCCAACGGCGAAACACGCGATGGTCTCCAACGCGCACGAGCCGACTCCTAGAGCTCGCGTCCTGTGCCCCTTTACTTGACACGAGATAACACGCAAACAGTCCTTGTTTGCTCCACACCCATCCCTATGTATCACCCCGGCAAGTGCTCACTTTGCGAGGCATCCCCCTCGAAGAAACGTCCGCAGCCACCCACGAAGAGGGTGTCTCCCGAGAACACCAGCGGCGCAGCCGCCCCATCTCCCCCTTCCCCCGCCCCCGCCCCCGCCGCCGCCGCCGCCGCCGGGCTCGTGACGAAGAACAGCACGTGTCCTCGCGTGTGGCAAGGGGTGTGCAACGCCCTCACCGTCAGTGAGCCGAGGGCGTACTCTTCGCGGTCTTTCAAGGCAAGCGTCATCTGCTCGCCGGGGATGTTGTAACGACGGGGCCCGAGGGGTCGCAGGTCGGCAAGAAGGCGGGGGGAGAAGAGTGAGGGGAAGGAGAGGGACGGGAGGTTCGGATATAGTACAAACGACACTCCGCTGCAGAGAGCGCGAGCTGGGATAGAACATGGGTCATTCTCGCCAAACAGAGACAATGTAAGGTACGTAGGGGCGCGGAGAACAAGCACGTCACAGTCCTTTGCCAAAAGTGTCTTGTGCAGAAGACGACACCCTCAACAAAGACTGTTCAACCGAAAGCCTCTTCACTGCTGTATCCCTGCATGTACAGATATCGCACACAGAAGTACTCGCACATGGATTCTCTCACTCTCACCGCGGGAACGCCTTCTTCGTAAGCCGAGCTCACGACCTCCAAGCCTGGGATCTGGATCAAAACGGACCCACCCATGTATCGATCCAAGAACAAACAATATACGTCGAGTCGAAGAGGAGAAGCCGTCCACCGAGAAGAAAAAGGCGTTACGGTTCAGGGAGAACGAAACACTTGGTTGGTATAGTAATACGGGGGGATAGGGTTCGTTGCTGTTTCGTCGAGTCAGCAGCGGTGGGCGGAAAAACATAACGCTTCCTCGCTCGATTATCATGGATCAGTTGGCGAATGGTGCTAGCAATCGGAAAAAGCGCACATACCGGGTGTGTTGTGTGGAAGTACTTCTGCAGCCACACAGCTGCGACAACACCAAAACAGTCACCATCATCAACCACCATCGATTCGATTCCATCATCGTAATGTGCGGTATTCTCACCATTTTCTTCATGGCTTCGTTGCCGCCCGAATGGTCCCAGTGTTTGTGAGTACAGAGAAGGGTGCTGATCTCCACTCCTCTAGCCTGCGCAGCGGCTATCACTTACACGACAAGTTGTTGATCGAGGGGGCGACGCAGGATCACAACAGAGACGACATGGCACACATCGACAATAAACAAAAATAGAACACAATTGGTGGGATGGGAGATGAGTAACTGTTTCCTTTTTCACTAACGTTGTTGTTGTATCAATGCTTTTTGTCTACGTCGAAACCAGTATCTCACACATGAATATTCGCTTGGTGTATTGCGTAGAGATGCGCACCGGCGGCTCGTTGACCAGGTACCACGTAGGTCCGCGCAAGTTTGTACGTCTGTCTGCTCGTTTTCAAGTGCCTCTTTAACTTGACGACTGGCGCAATCTAAGCAACAGGTATGTAAACGAAACCGTGACCACATACAAGTGGGGTGGGCCCTAAACGGGGTAGTGTTGAATGGCATGTTCCCAGTTGCGATCAAACAACGCGAGCATGTGTCACGTGCATGCTGAACAAGCCCTGTTAACAATTGGTAGGTCTAAAGCTACGCAATAAAAAGAAAACGACAGCAGCAACGTGGAAGTTACCGTGTAGGTTGGAAAATATTCCGCACCCCCTGGACCAATTTTCAAGGCTCGATTACTCCGGGGCAAAAACATTACCGAAAATGGCGTAATTTCATAACCGTCTCGTCGAGAGCATTCCGACAACATGTCGTTTGATTTTGGCATCCTCTTCGTCGTGGGGTTATCGAGCTCCAACAATCGGTCCAGGGTGTGTGTTATCCTAGGCAACCTACGGTGCGCGAAACAAGCGAGGTACGTCCGGCAGCAATCCGCCCACCTTCTCCGGCTCTGCCGGATCGACGCAGGCGGTTTTCTTCGTGACAGGGTCTATGAGGAGATACGCATAGTTGTCGCTCAATATAGGCACTTCTCTCGATCGAACGTGAGGCAACACGCGACACGCCGCGAGCAGCAGCGGTTTGGACGCAGACGCAGGTGTGGTTGCCGTGACCGAAGGCGGTGGCACGTAGACGAGAGACAAAAGTCGGGGAGGGGAGGGGGGGCGTTAGCGCGAAGGCGGAAGAGAACATCCTGCGCGAGGACAGCAGTAAATCAACCATGGCGGCGAGGGGTAGCCAGGATGTCCCACGCAAACATACCTGTGATGACTTCAGCGCACACGCCGGCGGCGGCTTCGTTGGGCTCTTCGGGCGTGGAAGAAGAAGCCAACATCGACGCCATTGCCCGTTGCTTGGACGACACGGCTCCCCCGCGTGTCGCTTGAGAGGCAGCGCCACAGCTGGCGGCCTTGCGGCCAAAGGTCGATGAACTGCTAGCGCCACCTCCGGGAGTCGCTACGAGGGCGGAAGTCGTCCACGACCGCTGCTGTCGTCCTGCCCCTGTATGCACACGAAAAGTTGAAGATCAGAAGTGTGCTCGACGCCCAAAACTGGCTCTATTTTGCGGGGATGCGTTCCGCGACGAGAAATCCTGCCGAAGTAATCTACTGGAACCCATCAGAAACGGCCCGCTGATTTCGTCACTGACTCTCGTGTCATCGCAAATGTCCAACAGCACCATGGCACCATTGTTGTCTACGGGGCACCATGCTGTCGTGGCCGGTATAATTGTGCTCGGTTTACAATACTGTAGCTATCTTCTGAAAGGCTCGTGTCCACTGCTAATCTAGCTCGTGCAGAAACAGCGGGTAGTAGAGGATTCATCTGTGTTTCCCTCTCCCCCCGAAAAAACAAATACCCCGCACATTGACATGTTGTACATAACAAGAACGGGCACCGCACGTTGAGATGCAACTGCTGTGATAACATTGATATTGGCCATGTGCCCTCTCGCGTCGCCACCGGGAGGCAACCCCAAGTTTAACAAGTTTAACAAACCGCTAAACCTCCCCAAGGGGAGCCTTGTGGTATCATACAAATTACAGGACATCCCCCTTGCAGGTCTCTACTGGGTCATGAACGACACATGCGGTGAAGTGCATGAAGGGGGTGATATCTACCGTACGTCCCACTGCATGTTGTGTCGGTACCCCATATCCTGTCTCGGTTCGGTCGTCACAAAAGCTTACCTGCAAGGAAGGCAACAGTTGCCCGTCCCCGGCCTTGGCGTGCACCGAGAACAGCAAGAGATCGTAGCGCTGCTCCAGACACCACAGCAACACGCATGGCGACACACCCTGTAGGGTAAACTGTGCTGTGTAGTGGTGTCTGCTGCTGTTCTAAAGGTTGTATGATGTAGTGACGGGGGGGGCGGGGGATTGCTCGGAGCCCCCTGAAAGCAATCAACCATCCGACAATCGGACACACCTGCACACCTGCTCATGTTTCGCATGCATCTCCCGATCTGACGTCCACGTCGCTCAAGTCGAGTAACCACCACTTGAGCTTAGACGGGAGCTAGGAGGCAACGAAGCCCTCCAGCTGGCTGGTACCATGGACAACCTTCAAAGAGACAACGGATCCATGCATACGAAGAACATTGACCGCGCCGCGGCCGGGGCTCCGCCCGTGATGGTTTCCGACGCCCCGATGACCCAGGTGCAGCAGCAGTAGTAGTTGCGGGTGTGCAATGCTCGGTTTCTAGTTCTTAATTTTACAACGTTCCTGTTCCCTTCTTGTTCTCCCATGCAGCGAGTGGCAAATATCTCGCTGCCAAACGTAGGCACGCACATACATACATGCGGGGAAGAAGTTCACGAGATTATTTCCGATTTCCGATTTCCGTGGCGTGTTGTCTTTTCTCCTTTCAGCCCAACCGTTCAGCAACAATTCCTGGTCGTTGTTTCGTGCTTTATTTGAAGCGCGATTTCGGAGGAGTGGTTGTTGTTGAGTCGCACTCCTGCCGTTCGGGTATTGTATTTAAGCAGTGTTCACAACTGGGTGCAGTCGACAGAACCCGTTCTCCTGAGTAATTAGTCATATTGAATAAATGTGGTACCTGTGAAGGCCACATCTATATAAAATTAAGGATGTAAATTTATCCGCCTGTGATGCTTTTGTTCTTAGCACCAACTGGCATCACTGACAACGCAGTGTTAGGCTTACACAAAGTCAAAATAAACAAAGTCTCCAGTCGGTTTCAGTCCACTTACTGAAAAGACTTCACCACATCCCTTTCGACTGAGGTTTATATCTCGAACGGGTAGTCTTTCTGTGAGGTTATGTTTGCTTTCTAAAAATGTACCGCAGACGAACCATGGAACACGCCGCCATGTTTGAAGATCGAGTATATTTTTCCTCATGTATTGTGGAGTACGTAGTTAACAGCAGTATCGACTGGATTTGTTCTCGCCGTGAGGACCATTGAAGGGACGCACCCCGCAGAGGATATTATTCTGTGTGACTCGGGATCGTAACCCGTCATTAAGAAGGAAAAACCGCATGATGTGGGGTACGCATACTGCTATACGGAGGGCGGATAATTGTTGCGACCGTGACGATACCAGAACAGCAGTACTGCTGTAGTCTTCATGACCAGGTGGCCTTCGTCCAGCAACAGACGGGATGGCGAAGAAGAAGGAGAAACCGAAAGGTTTCAATTTTGCGCATCATGTGCGCATGCGTCAAACGAACGATGTCCAGCCTGGTTGTTCCCTGTGCGCGGCCTCGAATTTGTTTGCAGGCATGACGTTCTTTGAAAGTTGGGGAATAAGTATAGAGCTACGATATCACTCCAAGCACCAGCGCAAGTTGGCAGAACAACAGGGCGGTGGGTGGCAGTTTGCCCTTGCCGGTTACGTGATTCGCTCAATCTTATGCTGCTCCCCCCCTTGCTCCTTCGACACCTTCCTCATCCATGATACTCAACACAGGCACACGTCCGAGTTCCTGACTCTGTGGACCGCACCGAGTGGTTGAAGCTCCGCTCGAGACGCCGCAGCAGCAGAAGACGTGCCTCCTCGGCCTCCTCCACCCCCCCCACGCTCGGCGCAACCCCTCCCTCTCACGGCCGCAAGATGTCGATGGACTCGACGACCTCCTCCTTGGCTACCGAGGCCTCCCTTCGCTCCGCGATGTCCACGCCCCTGCACCGGGGCCAGAACGATGAGAGGGTTCGGCGTTCCGTCACTTTCGCTGTTGACGACCATGACCGCCGCCGCCCCTCGCTCGACTCTGAACCACGGAGGCGAGCAGCATCATCTGCTGTGAGAAAAATATTTCCGTCTTCGTCTTCGTCGCCGGCGTCGTCCCAGCAGCAGCAGTGCGGAGTCTGCCGGGCCGAATTCACGCGGTACCGTCGGCCGCACCGCTGCCGCGCGTGCGGCAAGGCCGTGTGCGCCACGTGCTCGCCGGCCAGACTCCCGAAGCGGACGTGTAAGCCCTGCGCCGGAGACTCGGCCATTCCCCGCGTCTTCCCAGTCGTTTCTCCGGCACGGGGACGTATTTCCGCCCACGCACTCGGGGAGGAAACGACTATTAATAGCGCTACACGGGCCGCGCGGCGTGGTGCGGGCGCCCCGGTGATGGTTGGGGTTCCTGCGGACACGGGTGTCGTTGTCACGGCGGCGGCAGCGGCGCGCGAGGCGTCGGTGGTTGGTGTTGGCCGAGCCGAAGAGGTGGGCAGGGCAGGGACCGAGGAGGGGTCGAGTTATCTCGATGTCGCGGGGAATGTGAGGCTGGGCGGCTCTGTCTCTGGGGATCGTGTGGGCAAGGGTAAGCCGGAGAACCCGAGAAGGTTGGGCGGTGAAGGGGGACTGGACGTGGATTCTGTGGGTGAGAGCGAGCCCAGGGGTTCGAGCAGTCTGAGAGATACGAGCCAAGGGGGAGAGGTATGGCGCTCGAACGGCGTTGTTGGCGTTGCGGGTGATCAACACGTGGAGCACTTGGATAGCCTGGACGGCACCAACAGCAACGTTGATGGCTGTGGGAGTACCACCCGTGTCGAGTTCGGCACCCACCTCTCCCCAACAGCCTCGTTGAGGGATGATTATCCGCGTCCCGTGGCCGGGAGCCCGGCGGCGGCAACTCTCCCCCTCGATTCTGCAGCCGCGGGCTTGGATGGACTGCCCACACCAACAGCCACACCAGGGTTAAACACGTCTACTACTGTTACTACTGCCGGTACCGGTGCCCGTCAGGCGGGGGTGGTAGTGGATGGAGGGTCCAAGCCGAGGGATGAGAGGACCGTGTCGCCGGCCTCTGACGAGGAAGCCAAGCCTGAGGAGGAGGAAGACCGCGAATCTATCGTAACGGGAAACGAAGAGGGCAGCGCGGTGCCAGAGGTTGAGGACGAGCCTGAGGTCCGGCCGGCTCCTGTTCCTGCTGCTCTGCTGCATCCCCCTCCCGCGGCCGTTTCAGTGACGACGGAGCCGCGGTGCGGGCAGACCCACCTACCTCTCGAGCCTAATGAGGCCACACGGGAGACGCCGCCTCCCTCGGTCGAATTTGAGGGGGGGACGGAGATTGCGCGAGTTCCTGATCCCGATACCCGGGAAGAGGGGGGTGGGGTAGTGTCTACACCGCTCCGACACCGGGGCCCCCTCGAGGAGGGTAGTCAGGTTAATGCGAAGAGGGAGGAAGACGAGGAGAAGGAGGAAGACGAGGAGAAGGAGGAAGAGGAAGGGGAGGTGGAGGAGGAGGAGGGAGAGGGGCGGGGGCAAGGGGAGAAGGAGGTGTTGGAGGAGGATGTGAGCGGCCAGCAGCAAGAGACGAATGGTGCGGTCGAAACGATGGAAGAGGGCCTCCGTTTTACCGTGGGAAGGGTCAACGACAGACCCGAAGGGGGACAGGACGTCTCGGGCGCGGCTGCGAGGTTGAGCGCGGAGAAGCGATGTGGGGAAGAAGTGAAAGACCCCGGAACAGCGGACGTACCGCTCGTTGTGCCAAAGTACGAAGAAGGGGAGGGGGAGGTGGCGGAGGGCGATTATGCAGAGGGTGTTGGCGTCGAGAGAGAGGAAGGCGAGTGCGACCGTGAAACGTTGGTTCTGGGTGCAGGAGTGGCCGTGGACGGCCGCGTTAAGGAAGAACTAGTAGAGGAAGACAGCGGACCAATGGGTCCGCTTGCTACGGCAGCGATGCCGCAGGGAAAACAGGAGCAGCAGCAGGAACAACAACAGGAGGAGGGCGGGGAGGGGGAGGGGGAGAAGGAGGGGGAGAAGGAGGAGAGGGAGACGGAGACGCTGTTGGTTCTGGGTACAGATATGGCCGTGGACGACCACGTCAAGGAAGAACCAGTGGGAGAAGACAGCGAACCAATGGGTCCGCTTGTTTCAGCAGTTGTGCCGCAGGGAAAACAGCAGGAGCAGGAACAAGAACAACAGGAGGAGGAGCAGGAGCAAGAGGGGGAGAAGAAGGCGGAGGAGGAGGAGAAGGAGGAGGGGGGTGGGGAGCAGGAGGAGGGGGAGGGGGAGGAAGAGAAGGAGGAGGGGGATGGGGAGGAGGCGGAGGAGGAACAGGAGGAGCAGGAGGGCGGAGTGGACAAGGAAGTTGCAAGTGTTGAGGGGGAAGATATTGCGGTGGGAGAAAATACGCCGGCCGTAACCAGTCCCGTGAACGACCAGGTGGCAGAACAGAAAACATTGGGCTTGCCGGTTGCACTACCCATAAGTCACGAAGGGAGGGGGGGGGCAGACGACGAAAATGTTGGGGAGGATGGAGTGGAAGAGGGAGACGAGGTGTCGACGGTGGGGGTAGGAGATACGACGGCCGGGCCCGGTGACACAACGGACTCATTCGGCACGACAGCATTGATGTCGGCGGGAGAGGGGGGCACCGCAGGGGACGCCGTTGAGGGCGAGGGGTCGTGCACCCATGAGGCGGGGAGCAAGCCGTTGGACACCGCCATCGACAGCATTGCTCAAGCATCAGACTGTAAAGATGGGGCGACTCAAGACGACGACGTGGGGGAGAAGGCTGCTGCTGCAGAGGTGGAGGGACCATGCAACTACCAGGAAGGCAACGACGCGTTAGGCTCGCTTGTCGATGGCGCCGGTGGTGCACAGCACGAGCAAGCAGAAACGAAGTCACAAGTGGCCGAGGAGAACCCAGCCCTTTCTTGCGGCACGGCTGCGGGGACCGCCAGCGAGATTAACAGGCGGGAGGATACTATCGCGGTGGGAAGTGGCGGGGTAGAGGGTGCCACCGTCGATGCACCTATGGGGAGGGTGGACGAGACTGCTCCTGCGATGAGATCTGATTCAGAAGCTCTCCACAGTCGTGCGGGTGGTTCTGCTCGTGAGGCAAGCGGGAGTTATGCTGACGGCGGCCGGAATAAGAGTAACTGGCTCGCTGCTCTGAAAGGGTTGGTTGAGAAGGGTGGCTCGTGTTGTCACTGACGACCTGGGGAGTAGTTTCTGTGTGGTGTCATTAACGGGGGGGGCGGGGTGATGTCGACATCGGATCAGTGGTTGGTTCGTTGCCTCTTTTGTATCCCCCCCTTGCGCACTGCGCATCTAGATTAGAGTTGTTGTCGATGTTCTTATAGTACTCTGCTGGTGTGACCATCTCATTGGCCGTAGCTCTTCTTTGCCGGCACCGCTTTTTTGCGTGCTTGCCGCGTGTATTTATTTTTTATTTTTTTAGCTAACGAGGCGCCATACTCGTCGATTGGTGATCTTGATTGAGAATGTATTCACGCGCCCCCGATCTTGACCTCTCGGGTGTTTCTTGTTTGTTCGATGTTTCGCGTATATTCTGCTACGGTGGCAACAACGTTGTTATCGGTATCATAATAGCGTTTATTGTGCCTTGCGTCAGTGTCTATATCTCAGCCTCTCCGTTGTGTCGGTGGCCGCGTCACCACTTGTTCCCGTACCGTACCATCTGGTTCCTGTACCGTACCATCACACCCGTACCCTTTGGGGTGGGGTTAGAGTTTCCCAGCCCTTACCTGTTTTGTTGTCTTGCTACATTTTCGTTGGTCGAACGGGAGGACGGGTCGTGGCCGTTCGGGCAGCTTGATGCCCCCACTCACCGCGGAGTAATACTACATTAATACTTTGTCCGATGCTGTGGTGCGTGTCCATCAAGTAGGGGGGGCTTGTGGGCTAGCGGGACAATGGGATTCGTTGCAGGGGTGAAAGGTTTACCCCATCCTATGTGTAAATATGACTTTTGTATCCGCAGGGTTTGCAAAGTTTGTATTTTGACGGCGAACTTTGCCTCAGAAAGTGCCTTTGTAAATGTTACGGTATTTTCGTTGCTAGCATCGTTGAAGCGTTTGAGGACTACATAAGAAGTACGTAACAACGCACTTTTCAAAGGTTTAGTTTTCGGACAAGCAACAGCGCTTGGCCTGGGGGTCCCACAGCGACTCGGTGCGTGCCCGCCGCCCATTGCTCAGTGCGATGTGGACGATGTGGATCTGACAACGCCGCCATGTGCAAAACTCACGATTTGTACCTCTCAAGAGAAGGGCGCCCCTTTTCTGCATCCAGCAGCAGCAGCAGCAGCAGCAGCAGCAGCAGCCAAACGCGATGACAGCAATTTGACATCGCCGGCAGATGAAAACACTGATGACTGATGAAGGAAGGCCACGGCAAGATACACAGAAGAAGGCCAAGATGAAACAACGCACTCAAATTTCCCACTTTTTTATACCAATTCTCCGAGTTTTCTTTGGCACTGGCACAAGGTTAAGCCCATCCCCCGCCCCCTCCCCTGGTGCCCACCTCCAACGGAGGGCGTGTATTGTACGGCTATTGGGCAACGACCAGAGAGGTTTACGCACTTCTCCTTCCAAAAACAACAAAACCTGGGATTTCCTTCCTCCTGTGTGCCCCCGGCTGGCTTGTCCAACGTACTGTATACCACGTGCATGTCTTATCAGCTACCATTTCTGTCTTGACTCCGGAAAATAGCCCAGCCTCCACCCCCCCCGGCAAGTGACCCCAGATCATGACCTTTGGAAGCGTTCGCCGTTGCTAGCCGCATGGAGACTAACGTATTTTAATTGGTCAGCATGTTAGCGCGGTCGACGCCAACAAGAAGACGCACACACACACATATTTCCCCGCCCTCTGTGTTCAACACCACAACTACCCGGTACAACTCCGTTCAACCGTTTCGCCACGCTTCCACTCTCTCCGAGGCTACTGGCTCCTTCTGGCTTTAAGTCCCCGACTGAGACCATGAGAAAACACCACACACGGAGAGGAGGGGGGGGGAGGGGGGAAGGGGGCGGCACCGTGGGATGGGTAAGCGCAGGGACAAACGCTCACTCATTCGTTTCTTGCCACAGTCTTGGTTTGGACCGAAAAAACGAGTCTCGTCGTCTCGATGGGAACGGGAACCTTTGTTGTGTCGCACAGAGCCAGTTCCGGAATATGGTGGAAGTTCAAGTACGGCAGGCTTAAGCGCGCGCGGGGAAGGGTAAACAGTTTTGCGCCTCTTCGAGGCAGAGGGTGGTGTGGACAGACCGACAAGCGGGTCACCAACAAAACAACTCAGCAGCTACCAGCACAGCTAAAGGAAGGTTCAAAGACATCGATGTTCCACGTTGACCCCGTGGAACCCCTTCGCAGATCATGGTCGGCATTCAAGAAATCAAGTGTTTTGCCAATCAACCTGGCTACAGCCGTAGTGTTTAGCGCCGTTCTGGCTTGCTTCTCCCCCGCTTCAACACCCGCGAGGCAAGCCAGTCTAGTGTAACCCGAGGAGCGCGGGCAATTTAAGCACAGAGAGTCAATCACGGAGCGCGACTCAGGCAAGCACTACTACTGCAGCACTCACATCATCTCGTCGACCCTGTCCTGCATCTCGGAGAGACTCGCAAGCCCCGCTGAGGTCACGGCCTCCACTCGGGAGAGCTTTTCTTCCGCGTCCGCTCTTGCTTCCTCCTGCACCGCTCGGAGCGCTGCTTTCTCACCCTCGTTCAACTCGTCTGATTGCTGCTGCAGCTGCTGCTGCTGCTGTTTTCAATGGCGCAAGTTGTGACCAACAAACGCTGGTGTCAATGTCTCGACAACTGTATGCTTGTTGCTGCCGCTGCCCGACATATCCATAGTTGGTAAAACAATCAGCAAATGAACGAAGAAGAACACACCGTGTATACCTAACAAAATATGCATGTAGGCTACTCCGAATAGAGCCTATAACAGTCTCGCTGGGCTCAAAGAGAGCTCAAACCAACCAACACGTACGTAGCTATGCCGCCTTGATACCGACCTAAAAAAAACTTTGGCCTCCCTCCGTTTCCAAAAAAAAAGGAAACTTGACCCCCATTACCATAGCAACACCTCGTATTGAACCCCTGTGCAACACGCCATACCACGACAACAAAACACCAATCACGGTCAAGGTCCCAGGCATTGGGCAAGAGTTTGGCTCGCACCTTCGAAGTTTCGGACGCAGAAGACAACGCCGACGATTCCTTGACGCCAGAATCACCTCCCCCGGCTGCCAAGTGAGCGGGGCATAGATATTTAGGAGGTGGCGGGGGGAGAGCGAGTTAGGCCGCAAACAGGCGGGGAGTAGCACAACATGGGGGGGAAAAACCCTGCTCCGGCAGAGGTAAACGTGTGGCAAATAAATTAATATCTGAACGAACCTACCTTTTGCTTCGAGCTGTCTCCTCAGCTCAGCGATGACACTCTCCTTCTCTTCCAGCTGGACCTGGGGGTGGGCACGGCAGTTGGTTGTCGATAATCGTATCACTTGTGCGACCACAACAGAAAGCGCGGGAAATACAGTGTAGCGAAACTGTTACGCCCTTCACAAAGGACGGTTAAGTCTACAAGTACGTTTTCAGCAAGTACGACTTGGAATGAGAAAGTCGATGTGGGCATCCAGGCGGCCATGATTGGTCGACGATTGCAACAATAGAATATCTCGCAACGAAGCACTTGCAGCAAGCAGACCTTGAGGGCGGCCGATGCATGATGATGATGATGGTCGGATTCTTGTCGCGTTGTGCTGGCCAGAGACTGCTGCTTCTCCGCACGCGCAGCCCCTCGTCCTCGCGAGCTAGCTCGCTGCTGCGGCTGTTGATCTTGGGTATCGTGTCTGGCGGCCCTTTCTCTGGAAATCAAAAGACAAAAATTGAAGGCAGGGCGTGAATCGTATGTTGGGGTGTCTGTGGACAAAACATGACTAATGTTGAGACCGCGAGTAGTATTGGAGTACAGCTGTAGTAGTGTTTCTTCCAGGGTACACGGGCCGATTTCCCGCCACAAGTTTCCACCACAGCTTAGCCGATACGCGTAACTTACGGTTTATCGCCCTATACAGCCTTTGCCGCAAGGATGCCTACCGTAAACAAACATATTGACTGTTCATACGTTTTCGCAGCACCACCATCATACCGTACCGTTTCAGTACCATGGTACAATATCAACTCTTTCGGTACTGGTGGGTCCTCTTTGAGTCGGTACCTCGCTGCTTGATCTTCAGATACGGAAAAGATGAAATCGATTCTTTGTACCCGAACATTCTTTGTCTCCTGATTCATCGTGTGGGCTGCTGGCGTGGGGACTAAAACCACCTTGTAGAACTAATTCCAAGCCAGGGATCGAATCATCTCCAAGCATTGCTTTGTGTGAGTGGTGCTTACGCATGCTGCCGTTTCTACGGGGGCAGTAGGAAGGCGAGAACGGCGGCCCCGGAGAGGCATTGGAGCTTCGTCTACACCCGAGCGCATGTGTGTGTCTATTGCTAGCTTCGATCTCTCTAACCGAATGGCCGACGACAAGACATGAGTCAGTCTCAGCCCGTATGTGTGTCGATTGCTGGACGTCGGCCGTAAGACCTTCCGGCACGCTTTCTGGCAGCATCAGCCGGGGCCACAAAAGGAGGAGATGTGTCGCGACAGAGTTGCAACAACTGTCTTGAGCGGTAGTATGCACCAACCCGAACATGGACAAACACCGCCCGCGTTCGCCAAGAAGCCCAGACGGCAACTGGCAAGATCCAGCTCACCGCCTCGACCGAGCCAGCGCGCTGCCGGTATCCGCAGCGACCGCGCCACCGCTGTGTGCTGTCGTCGTTGTTCTTCCCCTGGTCGGCATGACCGCGCCGCCGCTGCCCATCCCTGCCGTGCTGCCGGAGCCAGTAGAGCTAGGTTTGATGATCTTGGAGCCGAACGCGAACTGCATCTGCTGCGTTCGGGTGGGGCTGAACGGGAGGGGCAAACGTGTGCCGTGGCAGAGGAGGGATAGGATAGGGTAACGGTTAGCAGCGGGCTTCGTCACCGCCGTCTGTTGCTGTGGTTGCTGTGGTCTTCATGTTTTCTGTTTTCGCCTCGCAAGTGTCCTCCTACCTTTTACGACAGCAGTAGTAGCATACAAAGAACATCCTACCCAGATACCCACGCGTGGTCGCGAGAAGGCAAAGATGTTGCCGTTACTTATGCCACCCTAGCTAGCTGTAAGCTTACGATGCGTCCTTGCGGGAACACTGCTGTGTGCGCGAACTACTGCTGCCTGTGCATATTACACCGCACACCTCACTTATGCGCGCAACAACAGCAGCAGTCGGTGGTGCTCATTTCCACAGCTGACCCACCGAACTCTTCGGGAATATAGACAGGCGTGCAGATATGCCTAGATGAAGATGTGTGGGAAGCGTCTCGGCCATCGATCATCAAGAGAGCAAGTGCTGCTGTAGACTTCGTGAGCAGACCGGCCTTATACCAGCGGTATGAACTTGCACTGCCGTTTCTGTTTTGACCAATCGGGAAAACACACCGCCTTTCAGGTGCCTCTGGTCCCGTACCTACCCGGGCTACGAAATTACGTCGTCCGCACGGACAGGGCTCACCCTTTCGATGCCTTGGTCGTTTCCTTAGCCTTCACGGCCCCATCGTTACTCCTCTCCCTCAACACCGCCGTCCTCATGGATCGCTCAGGGGACAACGAGCCGATTCCAAGCGTTGCACGTCGAGATGACCTCGTCGTCGAGCTTGATCGCTGAGATTGCTTCGAGGAAGCCCCGCCTATCGTAGACATGCTCAAGGGTCAATGAACAGAGCTCGCCCGGCGCTGACGGGGGTGCTAACGACTTTGTCGAAAGCAAGATGGTGACGGGAACCCTGAGTGTACTGCTGTACGTGAAGTGTACCAAGTCCCTTTTGCCTCTTGACGAATGAAATGCCCCAACGGCCAACACCCGGGGAGGTGGTATCTAACATATCCAATGCTCACAGTCCCGCCGTCAGGCGCCAGCGAGCCAGAGAGGGAGGGTGAAAAGGTTACAGGCAGCAGCAGGGACTGGAGGGTGTGACCGAGCTTTCGCTGGTCCTCATCACGCATAGGCACTGCTTCACGCTCAAGGTAGAGGCGGGTTGAAATTGGACTCCGCAGCTGCTGTGCACGCCGGCTGTGGTATTGATATTGTGTCCGTGTTGAGCGCAGATGAGTTTTCCCCGCACCTGTTGTTGTCGCTCTGCGCTCTGCGTGTGCCAATCCTGTCCAATTCCCAACCAACTAGCGTCCTCTTGATGCAGCTACAGGAGTACTCCGTCAGGTGATCTGATCGAACAGCCGTGGACAGGACACTTGAGGCGTGAGGCGCCAATACATTTTATTTGGAGTTGAACACAAAAAACAATGGCGAGCAGCGCCGGCGATGATGCCACCCTCCGGAAGCTGTTCGGAGGCGCGATGGAGTGCCTGCTGCCGGCAGCGTACGTGGACGTCAGGTTGGTGGGCGTGCCGTTGACTGACAGAGGGCTGCGGGGGTGGAGGTCTAATGCTACTACGTACGTTGCATATACAATTATGTTTAGCGTCACTCCTTTCACAAGCTGTGGGCATGGTGCGGGGTGATGGGAATGGGGCGGCAGTAGACGACAGGAGTACATTGTAGTTTCGAGAGAACGATGTTCGCTAGGTGATGGATGTGACATGTCCTACGTGCATCAAGGGCAGTGGTGGATTTACAGCCATCGTGATAACCCGCGGCTTTAGCTTTTCAAGTCCTTCGGTGTACATGATGCCGCTCGTATGCACTGCTTTTCCTAGCTAACAAACATACATCTGCCTCCTACCCTTCACCCTTCTCTTCTCCTCGACCCCGCTCTCCCACCTCCCTCGTCTCCACCCCAGTGACCTTCGACAAGTACCCGATCACCAGGAGGTCTTCGCCAGCAAGGAGGACGGAATCAGCATTGTCATTGAAGTTTTATCCTTTGAGGCCGACATCAACATGGACGAGCAAGCCAGGAAAGACGGTGCAAGTGCGCGACATTTTTTCGACGATCTTGCGGCGGCTAACGGGGCGACGAGCTCTGCCTGCGATTTTTGCGGCGATCTGAGCGACAGGCAAGACTAGAGCCGGCGGTGAACGGCGGGAGTTGTGTACATTTTGCGCATGTTGTGCAAGTACTTGCTTCTGCGCTACTCGCGACAAACCTTACCGCCTCTGCATGTGTAGGGATATAGCACAGTGGCAATGACGCAGGTGGTGTAGGCTGTCCAAAGTTTATGGAGGGGGACCCTCGGCGCTGAGTTCATGGTGTCAAAGGAAGCGCTAGCACGTCAACATCAACCAAATCATATTGGGCAGTTTCATTTGTCCCCTCTCACGCGCTTGTCTTAGTCAACCCCACACAAATCCCAATCCTGTTCCATGTACATCCACCCGAAGGCATCCAACACATTGTATATGAAGTCAACTTCCTCGGCCTAGATTTTTCTGCGGAAGACGGTGTGAACGAAAGAACACTGGGCGAATCAACTATTAAAACGTATTTCCTGTTACTCTGATCTCGTTATTTCGGCCAACAGCATCATGCCGAAGCTCGCATCGTACACCAAGTCAGCCCTGGCAGGCCGTCAGACGGTGGCCAAGTTTCGTCAAGACGCTCCTCCCGACGCTGTTCGGCTGTACCTCGTCAACGTCCGGTCAGCGCAGCAGCCTTATCGTTTGGGTCGTGTGCTTGTGTGTGTGTCGTGTTATTTTTGTTCATCTTCTTCAGTCCACTACTACATGATAACAGTTACAACACGTTGGCATTTAGTGCAAGAACAGCGTCCAGGCACAGCAGTGCCGCTTGTTTGTGTTGCGCCATCCTTGGTCATAACGTGCACGGACTCGGAACCGGTATGTATTCTGTGGTGAGGGTATAGATCCCCAGTTTTTCGGCGTTGGTTTATCTTTTGGCGAAGGGTTATGCGAGAACGGCGAGGGCAGCTATGAGCGGAAGTTAACAAGTGGATGGGCAAAGGTCGTAGATTTTGCAGCGAAACATTATTGCATGCGAATGGTTTAATCTGGCCTAAATATCAACATCAAGTGTGTACGCCTAGAACCTTACAGGTGGACTCCTAGCTTCCATCACGTACGATATCCACCCAACACGCTCGAAAGCCCGTGAGGTTTGTTCTGCTTTTATGCACGTTGGTGTTTTCCATCACCAAGGATTGACCGGGGCTCCCTTGATTCCACCAACTATTTCAAAAGAGCTTCAGAATCTCGATTGGCCCTTGCCCTTCCTCCTTAAAACAGTTGAGCTTTACATTTGAACAATACTGCACGTCGATTCTTCTCTTGGTTTGTCCGCAGGCTACCGAATGTCGGAACCGATCTCCTCATCACGGTGAACGTTCCTTGTCCCGACCAAGACACCGCCGTGAGGACCATGGCAGGCGCGGAATGCTTTTGCTCGGGACCGTCGAGACACACAGCTGGCGCGAACGAGGAGATTTCAACAGGAGCGCCCTTGATTGACGCGAACAAAACATCAGAAACAGCCTCCGGTGCACATGCTGCTGCCGACGGCACAGCGGCGGGAACAGATAAACCGTTCAAGAGCGCTGCGGATTTCTCCCCGGAGGCAACTGTAGATGGGGTTGGTGGTGTGGACAAGCCAGAGGGTTCCGGAGAGATTGAGGCGGGAGTTGGGGAGGGGAAGGGGGAGAAACATTCATCTCCTGGAGGAGGGGACGATGTTGACTTGGGTGTAGCGGCCCTTCGGACCCTCTTGCAGTCTTTTGCCATATTGGATTGGTCGCTGTTTGGCTAGGTATCGACCGGGGACTATGTATTGCTACACTCAGAGAAGAAAACAAAAACCTTTCGTATAATGCTGCTGTTTTCAATGGGTTTCCTGCTAAAAGAGACAAAAGGAAAAACTGTGGCGAGTGAGCTATGCATACGACGAGAGCACCAAGGCTGTCTATTCGCGCAGTAGCGCACAAGCATTCCGCAGGCCTTTGTGACGAGCTGGACAAGCCAAGACAAGAACGAAACTACAAAAAAACAGATGGCTGACTCAAGACGGAAGTAAACGTCCACCAAGCGCAACGAAAGACAAGCGCTATACCTGCTACAGCAAGAGGATTGATCGGTCTTATCGGCGGTCTCTATGCCCGGTCGCACACAACGCACATCAGACATGTTGTATCTTGGTTTGTCATGGTGCCCGACCGCTGCCCTCATAGACTGTGCTTCCATCCGTACGCCACTACAGCTGCCAGGTACCGGAGCGGCCTTAAAACGAGACAAAAAAAGGCCATGGGAACATGTTTTCTTGGAAAATTCTGGAGGTCAGAAACCTCTCGGCCCCCATTTCCAATAAAATTGTGTTCGGCTACCCGGGTTCTCCGCATAATTTTCCGGAACATAATAAATCAGAAAAAATCGCGGGAAAATCATACACTTGCAACTTCTTAGAAAATTCCGAACATCTTCTTGGGCTCGTCGGCCTTGACCTCGTACTGGCCGTACTGCATCTCGTACACGGTGTCGTACTGGTTGAGCAACACCTTCAAGCCCGGTCCGCAAGGGAACGTCTGGCAGGTCAGCGTGAACCCCTGCAAATAGCACGGAGAGCGGGAGAATCGGCGGGGGGGGCAGAGAACGTCACCGCCGTTGATCAAATTGGCGGTTGGAAAAACGTAGGCATACCTCACACGCTATGCACAACGCAACGTGTGACGTCTAGTTGAGAAAGATCCCCAAGCCTAAAACCGATCAAGATTTGTGCAGGTGATGGTGGCTTCAGGGATCCATGCCATGCAAAAAAAAGCCACACCCTCTCTGGCCAATCAGAGGTGCGCACAGATAGAATGGGCGTGTGCAGGGGTTGAGGGAGGAAAGACATTGGCAGAGGGACTGAGAGGACATGCAGGTTGGTCCTAGATTCTCGGGAAATAACAGTCAGAACAAACTTCGAACGAATCATCAGCAGAGAACTTGCTGTAACAAAGAAGGAGCAAATAATACATGCCGAAATACAACGAAAATTCGCCAAGCACTCGGTGGAGCCCCTTTTCATTGTAGCACGAGTCGGAGCCCACCCATGACCGCCCACAAGTGTCATCATTTCATGCATCGTACCTTTTCCCTCTGGTCCTCGCCCAGCGCGTTCACGGCCACCTTGTAGTTCTCGTCCCTGGTCCCCTCCCTGATAAAGCCTGCACACGTTGTGCAAATCCCTTGTTGGCAAGAGCAAGGCGGGTCGTCGAAAACCTGCAAGCGAGGGGCCAGACGAGAAAGAGCAGCAGCGGCACCGCCAAATGACGTAATCGCATTCTCTTGATGGGCGCCCGCAGCCACGGGCGGACTCAGAGGAGCAAGGATGAGCAGCACATGCACCAATCAACGACAACGCACACTTGAAAAAAAGAGTACAAAAGGTATCCACAATACAGATGCTTTTGTTCTTAGGGCCAACTGGCATCACTGATAACTCAGTAAGTGTATAGGCTTACACAAACTCAAAAGAAAGCCCAGTTTCCAGTCGGTTTCAATCCACTTGCTGAAAGACTTCAACACATCCCTTTCGACTGAGGTTATATCGGTCGCCCCGGTGGTCTCGTTGGTATCCTCGAAACCTTCTAGAGTTCAGGTCAGGGGTTCGAATCCCGGTGTAAGCGAGCTTTTCTTGCAAAGTGAGTTTTTCTCTCGCTTACGCTTCTGGCCTAGTGGATAGCCCTAGTTCGTGTGTACACAGAGGGAAGAGAGTGCTGAACTCTTCTCGCATTACAAATCGAAGGCGAAGTACCGCAGGAGGGGAGCGTAGAGAGGGGCTCGTCTGTGTGACCACGGGTTGGAGTAAACGGCACTAGTGCTGTGAGCGCTGATTTGAAGTGAAGACAAAAAAAGAGGGGAAAAAAATCTCGAACGGGTAGTCTTTCTGTGAGGTTATGTTTACTTTCTAAAAATGAATATGGTATTTGAGAACACAACTTAAAACAAAACACTCAGGCACGCACACACCAACAAAACGGGTACTCCACCGCGGCTCTGTTACAACAAAAAGGAGATATTTATAAGAGTACAATGACAAGGATTTTGCACAAACGTGGAAAGCGGGGTGAGCGAGAGGACGGTTCTCACGAGTTCGCGACCTGAGCTGGTCCCATCTCTCGAACCCGCGCCCAAACTTGTGTGTGAGGAGTACAGACCCCACATCCCTCATCAATACCACTGCTGTACCACTGAGGCGAACGAACACAAAAAAAAACAGAGGACCCCAGTTCTGCACAAACAACACCGCCAAAAATACAGAAGCAGTGCATCAACTTATTCTTGCTGCCATACGCCGGTAACTACGTGTATACCTATTGATGCTATGCGATGCCGTGGTTTGCTCATGTTGAAGACAGCCAGCAGTCCGTGCTGGACCGACCGGAGTTGCCGGGCGATCGGAAAAGCGCAGAGCCTCGTACCATGGTAGTATTATAGTTGTTGTCACTCTTGCTCACCGACTTGGCCGCGTAAAGGACGGAGGTGCCCTCCGGGACTGTCACCATTTTCGTCTCTCCATCGAGCTCCAGCTAGCAGCGCGGGACGAGCCGAGGCGAACAACAATGGAGAGAAGAAGAGCAGCTTACAATCCGTCCACGTTTGTCTTTTGTCTTTCTCAGAGTGACAAAAAATGATGTATCATGTAGTTTGGGGCACCCGCTGTTACGGTACAGCAGTAAGCGCAGAATGACCACTACGCACAGCAGCGTGTACTGGGCAACATACCGGCAGCAGCGTGGTATGTAACGCACGGGACACCACATGTAGTATCATTGCTCCCCATGTCACAAGCCAAGGACTTTCGTTTCCGATGCCAGGGCTGTACCTATCCACCTATACTGCTTGCTGTGGGCACAATGTTCGGAAAGTTGTTCCAACGGCTTGTCTGCTGTTGATACGCAGTCGGCACCGAGTGTATGTTGTGTGGTTTGTATGCACTTTCGTTGTCTAATATTTTGTGTGGTGCAGCTATAGCATCAGGGCACGTCGCCTCGCCGTCCGCAACGGTGCTGTAGGCCGCATTGTTGCGCTGAAGCGGGTGGGCGTGGCAACAGCACGGCACGAATGTTCCGCTCGCAAATGTGGCGTTGTACGATGCCCACCTCCACCTCCCACTCCTTGCTCTCGTCGAGCTGTCCCTCCAGCTCCAGAGGCACGGCCATCAACGGACTCGTTGCTGCTGTTCTAGCCGCTGACGCCGAAGGCCTGTACGAGGGAAACAACAGGGTCATAGCGATTACATGCGTGTGTTTCAACGGCTGAGGTAATTTGCTCGTGCGACGGCAATGCACGTCAAGGAAGACACCCTGGTGTGCTGACGGCAGCTCAAGAACTTAAGAGTACAGGCGCTATAATGCTTATACCGAAAGTGCGGTTGGTTCTTGACATGGTGTTCAACATGGTGTTATAAGCAAGGCAGTCTGACACAGTGCCATTTGGACGAAGCAACTGAGGCAAACAGCAGCACTGTTGCCAGACGGGCGACGTGGTTGGGTCGCAACGGGTGCAATCTCCACCACAAAAGCGGGAGCTGACCGCGCGGGTGCACACAAACGGAAAGAAATGTGAGCCTGTTACACGTTCCCAGAGAGGGGATATATCGCTGTTTGCTGCTCGGAGATTGGTCGAAACACAGATTGGGCATGCAACACGATCCTGGACTCTCCATCTGTTGGTAGAAATCATTTCACTCGTTTGAATGAGAAAAACATGAACACATGGGCATTTTGAGGATGGTTGCATGCAAACAGCAGTACAAGTACAGGCCCGCAGATATTCATCCATGAGAGAGGGCAAGGGAAGACACACAGGCAAACTGGCATCATTTGTCCCGTTGAGGCTATAAACCATTAACGCAAGGCAGATGATTCTTGCGGTCGATATACATGAAGAACACCCAGGGGTACTTGGGCTCATGATTTTCTGGCCGATGCGCGAGCTCACGGTTGATGTATGCATGGATCTTGAGATGGAGGTTGCCGTTATGAAAACAGCAGTCAGTGAGACCCCGGCAGCACGGCTGGACATGAAGGTTGAATTCACATCTATCATCCATAACATAGATAGAACAGGCTGTGAACAACTGCCTCAAATACCAGTGACAGCTACATCACCACCACCAAGTCCATGTGCACATGAGTCGGGTTGTCGGCCGGCTTACCACAGGGCGATAAGCAATAAGGCAAGTCTGTTGCGCAACAGCAAAGCAGAAAGAAGCTTAGAGGATGTTGCACAGGGAGGGCGCAGGAGAGAGCGACACATGTTTTATATGCGCGTGCATGCGGTAAGATGGGGACTGCAGCGTCCTTCGGATTCGACCACGAGATACAAGCAGTCGCCACCAACGCCGGAAAATAGACTCTCTCTTCACCTGGCCATCGCCCCACCAACACCGACGACAAACGCGCTCGAACGGCAGACTCCGCTGGCTAGCGCAATCGCCACAGCCGCATGTGATGCACTGGTCTTCATGATCCTCTCGCGGGCTCCCTTGCGTGTTGGAAAACCGATCAGCCTCGCAATCGAACCCCGCTTCTCTCGAGCGAAACCTTAGACTTGATGTAGCTGGCGGATGGGAACTCTTCGAGAGAGACCGCTGTCGCGACGAAGAAGAGGAAAATGAAAAGAGAGCTGGCAGCGGCCGCCCTCTCCCCTCTCGGCTCATCTGTTCGGTCATAACGCATCGTGTCATATGGAAACCTCATTTTAAGAGGAACTCTGCGCGCCTCTTTTTTCTGTCTTCCTCCTACCTCGCGCACACCCAAAACATACGGGCGCGAATATTTGCAATCCATGGATTATAAAAGAGAACCACAGTCCAAACATCCGGACGGATCGAAACCCCGGGAAACCGCCCGGAGTGTCCCCGAAGAGGTTCTCCTCTCTCCCTCTCAAATTCAATATTATCTCGGAGCCTGGATCTAACGCCCGTTGTCTTCGGAAGCAGAGCTCTCGTCTGCAGCAACAGCCTCAACAGTCCATACTGCCATACTGGCACATATTTCACGCCAAGGCCACCCTTCGCACCCGGGATGCCCAGGAGACGCTAGGCCTCAGAGGAACAGGAGGACACGACGACACACAACGCCCCGTACTTAGAGGAGTGCTCGTCTCTCTCTGTGTGTGTGTCTATCCGCGTGTGGTGCTGCTGTTGTTGTGCGTTTCTGCTGCTGCAAGCAATTGTTGCTGTAGATTTTGTGAACTACATACAGCAGTATTCTTTTTTTGGTAGATATAACCTGCTGCACGGTGCTGCCGTGATGGATGTCAGTCATCATGGGGCCGTCAAAATCTGTAGGCATCGTTTAGTTCGCACACCGCAGGCCCGCTCAACAAACTCGAGACGCGGCTCACACGGTTTTCTTCGCAGAGCACACAGGTCGACAAGCACAGATAGACGCAGAAAAAAACAAAACAGAACAATCAATATCCAACAGCGATTTGATGATAGACTGACCCCCACCAAAAAAATGAAAGGACCTGGATATGACCCCAACACGGCAAAAAAGGGGGCGGAAGAAAGAAAAGAAAAGGAAATGGAACAAAAGAAATAAAAACAGGACAGGAACCAGATGGCCCCATCGAACGCTACACCGCAACAACCAAATAGACATACAAACACAAAATCGACAACATCACAGACGGCGATCGGCGCAAAAACGCCGAAGCGAAAAATAAATAACACACCGAGCCTTGACCTGCCGCCGGGGGGGGACAAAACATCGTTCAGGCATATGCCCCGGTGACGTCGTAAACCTAGGGCCGCGTACCGCTACTCACGTACCCCAAAGTATGCAACACCGAAACTAGAGTTGGGACCCCGAAGTCGCGGCTCTCTTGCTACCCCCTCTTGTGTATCTTTCTGCAGCGCCAGGTCGTCTTTTATTACTTGTCCTAGCGGGCAGGCGAACAGTTCCAGGGTTGGCCATGAAGAGAGCCGCCCCCCGCCCTCCCGTCGTTGTAGTTCCTACCCCGCCTGCTTGCACATTGACCATCGTCAGAAATTGGTCCACGAGGGCTACGGCGACTGTCGGTGAAAAGCGATCAGACAAAATACTCGCGGCTTGCCCGAGCTTCTTCGTTACGTCGGCGTACAACACTTGTCTATCCTGGTCCGTGGGCCCCTTCTCCTTCAAGTCCAACAGGACCGTCTGCACCGTCTGGCTGCTCCCAACGAAAGACTTCCACCTCCCGCTGCATCCCCCCACCCCCTCTCCCTCTCCCTCTCCCGCCGCCCCGTCCACTTCTCTCGCAGCGTGAGCGGTTGGATACCACCCACCGAGGGCGGGCGACATCCGGCCAGTCCTGCTGCGGTGTTCCCCTCGCCTTTTCCGTCAGCCAGTGCTCGTGCAGGAGGCCTACGTGGAATCTGAATCGGGGGCTGTACATCATCGCCGCCCACACATGGCGACAAAATAGCCTGAGAGTTTGGAGTGTGCGGCACTGGCAGAGATGGCTACCGTCGGAAAAGAGCAAGACGAGGTAGTCGAAGGCCTTGTCATCACGCTGCTCGTGAATCCCGAAGACGTAAATGGCGTCGCAAAGCTTGTCCTCGATGTACTCGAACGTGCGCCCCGAAGCTGCCGCGCGTTCTGGTCCATCCACCTCCCCACCACCCATCTGGCAAAACGTGATGGCCGCGGTCATCTCTTGCTCCATGAACCGCCGCGGCCAGCCCGCGATGGAGAACTCGCAGGACTCGAGCACACTCTTGAAAGCGGTCGCTGGTGGAGCCGCCATCCGATTAGGCGGCAGATGGTCGATTGCGTCACGCAGCATGGCGGCATCCTTCTGGGAACAGATGATGCCCGAAAAGTACTTCGCCACGTCCAAAAGCGAGGAGCGCGAGTTGCACCTATCCCTGATGAGGGCGTTTTGGCCTGTTGTGTGTGCGGCGGACAAACACGCAAGAAGCGACACACAAACCAAACCGTAGGTTAGTGATTGGTGTCATCAGACATCGTTGAAGTCGCAGTACGCCAAACGACTGAAAGAGAAGCCTATGACTTGACGCACCCATCGCCACAGATGTATGTACACGTGAGCCGGACGATCGCAGTGCACCGACCAAGTACATCAATCCCGAACAACAGGGGCCGGACAACAGCCACATGTTTCGAAGAGGTCGTAAACATTAGCGTCATGTAGGGAGTTGTTTACTGGTCATCCACTGACGGCGTACGATAAATTCGTCCAGAAGCACTCACCAATGGCATAGTAAATAGGGGGCAAGGAAGATAGCCGCCCCCAACCCCTACAGACGTAGAAAAACTCCCAAAAACAACGACAACGCTATATGCGCTGTCGTTCTCGAACAAAACGCTCATGATGGCAGATGACGCATACACGCACCTTCAACTCTTGATGTCGTCCACGAACCTACGGAGAACACCAGGGGCGACACATATTCCGCCCACCGTGCACGGTCGTCATATACTACTTGCATGTACTTCTCCGCCTTCGGGTACTTTTCGATGAGGGCGTTGAACTTCCGTTCGAACTTCGCCAATGACAGCTGCTGACGCACACACCTGAACTCGTCCATGAAAGGCTGCGGAAAACACAAACGACGTGGGCCGGGTGGGTGTTGCGTGAGTTGGGGCCTTTGCGATATGGGCTACCGGTCTGTACGATTGACTGCCACCAACAACCCCGTACACTTCGTTAGCGCTAAGGCGAGACGAGGAGAGGGTTGAAAAAACTCAGCGACATACCATTGGTGCTTACAACCTGCTGCTGCTGCTGCTGCTTTTTCTGTGTGCACTGGACGTCGTGAGGTATGTTTCCGTCGAAGCCGAGGTCGTCTCCGCATCACGGTCTACGCAGAGACGCTGGATATCACTCTTCCAAGTAGGCGACACTGATCCATGACAACGCACCAACTCGCACAGGGGATACAAGCGGGAGTGGGGGAGGGGGGCTAGAGTGGGCAGCGTACGTCGCGCGACCAGGACAATACGAGAGGCCAGACTAACCACGCCAACACACACAGTAGAGCGCACCTTCATGTACCCACCAAGGACTTTAGCGAGGGCCTTGATAACGTTCTGGTTGAGGTGCCATAAATTGCGCCTCGCCAGCGCGTCCGGGAACACCTCTCGCACCGCCGCCGTCATCGCCGCGTCCGCGTCCTGGATGAAGGTATCCGGCTGCTTCCCGCGAGACTCCAACGCACTCTTCAACATCCACAGGAAAGTGTCCGTTGTGGTGTCGGCCGTTATGCTTTGGCCGACGATCCGCGTCCGATACTCCGAATCGACGACAGCGAGCACACCGAGAGGCATACGGTATCTGTTCTTGACAGCGGTGTCGTCGTAGAGCGCAACGTGACCGTACCGATTCCAAAGCGCCACCTGCGTATTCGGAGCATGACGTCGAAGGGGATCGAGAGCACTTAATTGTGGGTGTGACGTGTGTTGGACGCGTCACAACGCACCCCCACCCTTGCCTACGGCGTGCTTTCGGTCAGACGTCCTACATTTGCGGACGGCGAAGCGGTACGTGCGAGATGCTAAAATGAAAGCAAACCTTCCGGCTGGGGAATATTCGTATGGGGCACAACGACCGGCGACCTACCTGCTCTCTCGTTTGCCACCAGATGTGCGTCAGGCGGCCGCTGTCATCCATCTTGATCTCGCACACTCCGCCGTCGGCCGTCGCGGCCATGACCTGAAATTGCAACATGTTAAGCGCCCGGAAACATCGAGGGCATCAGCGCAAAACCACGACGACGGCACGGCACACATTTTTTACCTCCAACATTTCTTGGTTTGGTGTCATGGGGCATATATTCTCCCGGTTGTCACCTGCGATCGTATGTGTCTTGTCGCCCGGATACCGCCTTGAGCAAAACCCAACATCCCACACACAAACAAGAGAGGCAACAGTCTCAACGGACACATGGACACACCTCTTCGTACGCATCGGCAGCATCTCTCGGCTTCTCCGCCCCGTGCACAATGGCAGCTGCGTTCTGCACCGCGCGCTTGTTGATGTCGATGTCGCTGTCCTCGTGCAACGCCTTCATTGCTTTCGTCACCTCTTTTGGCTTCATCCCATGACCTGCGCCGTATGGGAGAGCCGGGAGCACAAAAATAAGTGGCGTGTCACAGACAAACAGGGTAACAATGTGGAGGCGACAGCAGTACCACGCTTCAAGGGCCGTTCGTCATGCGGCATCATGACTACCAACCATGACAAACCGTGGGATACGACGGGAGCCACTGTAGACCTACTCCAACGAGTTCAATCTTCCTTGCCCCATATTTGATTCACAAGACAAGACAAATGAAACGTTTCGCCGTCCACCGCTGAGTACACGAAAACAGCGAACCGAACGTGCACGCGTTGAAAGGCACGAGGTGCAGCACAGCAGGGACAATCAATTGGCGTGCTACACCCACGGAAACAATGGCAGGGCCTCTACAGGGAGCCTTGATGTGGACCGGGGGAATGCCAGATACCGGTGCTCTTTTCATGGGGCCAAGGGGAACAGCAGCAGCAACATCAAGTAAAGCACACAAAAAAACATTGTGGGTGTCACGCCGAACGGCACGTGTCAAGCACCAACCCGTCTCGCCTGCGTTTCCGGCGGGGGGCTGGTGGTCAATGTCTGCTGCTGTTGTTGCTGTACGGGGTGGGCTTGTACAGGGTAGCCCGCAAAACCTCCGGCGGCCCCAGCATCGGGAGCACCCACAGGGGCCGGAGTTCCCAACGGCAGACCAGTGCGAGGTGAAAGCATGGCCTGCAACCGCACGCGAAACCCACCACGCGGCGGAATGGAAGGACACCATGTCAACGTTTGATCACAAGACAAGACAAATGAAACGTTTCGCCGTCCACCGCTGAGTACACGAAAACAGCGAACCGTACGTGCACGCGTTGAAAGGCACGAGGTACAGCACAGCAGCGACAATCCACTGGCGTGCTACACCCACGGAACAAACATTGCCGGTGTCACGTCGAACCGCACTTGTCAAACATCAACCCGTCTCGCCTGCGTTTCCGGCGGAGGGCTGGTGGTCAATATCTGCTGCTGTTGTTGCTGTACGGGGTGGGCTTGTACAGGGTAGCCCGCAAAGGCTCCCGCAGCGCCAGCATGACGAGCACCGTAAGAGGCCGACAGAGCAGCACTGGATGGAAGCATTCCTAGCAATGACACTACCGCACGGCAGGCCACGGGTCCCACGACGCGAACATGGAGGGTAGACACATGAAGTTAAGGGGTTGGGCAAGTGCGTGCACAATGCCTGCACCTCTACCAGCCCAGCACTGCTGTAGCACCACCATACAGCCGAGCAGCCAGAAGAAAAGACTCCGGACTATACGGCAAGGACAACAGGCAGGGCCTGGCCTGGCCTGACCACACCAGTGCAGGCACATGATCACCAACGTACGTACGACGGCAACAACAGGTACAGAGCAGCATCGACACGTGGGACAGCATGAGGGAGGCTGCAACACAGGAGACAGACCAACACACACATGGATTATAAAAGAGAACCACAGTCCAAACATCCGGACGGATCGAAACCCCGGGAAACCGCCCGGAGTGTCCCCGAAGAGGTTCTCCTCTCTCCCTCTCAAATTCAATATTATCTCGGAGCCTGGATCTAACGCCCGTTGTCTTCGGAAGCAGAGCTCTCGTCTGCAGCAACAGCCTCAACAGTCCATACTGCCATACTGGCACATATTTCACGCCAAGGCCACCCTTCGCACCCGGGATGCCCAGGAGACGCTAGGCCTCAGAGGAACAGGAGGACACGACGACACACAACGCCCCGTACTTAGAGGAGTGCTCGTCTCTCTCTGTGTGTGTGTCTATCCGCGTGTGGTGCTGCTGTTGTTGTGCGTTTCTGCTGCTGCAAGCAATTGTTGCTGTAGATTTTGTGAACTACATACAGCAGTATTCTTTTTTTGGTAGATATAACCTGCTGCACGGTGCTGCCGTGATGGATGTCAGTCATCATGGGGCCGTCAAAATCTGTAGGCATCGTTTAGTTCGCACACCGCAGGCCCGCTCAACAAACTCGAGACGCGGCTCACACGGTTTTCTTCGCAGAGCACACAGGTCGACAAGCACAGATAGACGCAGAAAAAAACAAAACAGAACAATCAATATCCAACAGCGATTTGATGATAGACTGACCCCCCACCAAAAAAAGAAAGGACCTGGATATGACCCCAACACGGCAAAAAAGGGGGCGGAAGAAAGAAAAGAAAAGGAAATGGAACAAAAGAAATAAAAACAGGACAGGAACCAGATGGCCCCATCGAACGCTACACCGCAACAACCAAATAGACATACAAACACAAAATCGACAACATCACAGACGGCGATCGGCGCAAAAACGCCGAAGCGAAAAATAAACAACACACCGAGCCTTGAC